TGTGTGTGCACATGTACAGCCCCATTGCAGGGGGCGTGTGTGTGTGTGTGCATCACTGTGTGTGTGTGTGCATCACTGTGTGTGTGTGTGCATCACTGTGTGTGTGTGTGTGTCACTGTGTGCGTGTGTGTTTGCGTGTGTCAATGTGTGTGTGTGTGTGTGCACGTACAGCGTCACAGCAGGATGAGTTTGTACACACAGCCCTGCTGCAGAGAGGGGTGTCTGTGTGCCTGTGTGTCTGTGTGTCCATGTGTGTGTGTTTTTGTGCACAAGAACAGCGTCTCTGCAGCGTGGTTGTGTGTGTGTGTGCGCGTTCACAAACACATCCGTGCAAGGTGTTGGGGGGTTGTGCACATACAGGTACAGCAGCACTGCAAGGGGATGTGGGGCAAAGCACAGCACCGGTTGTGAGTGCACCCCTGAGTGTGTGTGAACACACACAGGCACAGAGCTGGTTGTGAGTGCACCTGTGTGTGTGTGTGTGTGTGTGAACAGGCACAAGCACAGCACTGCCAGGAGTGTGTCTGTGCACACACCAGCACAGCAGCACTGCAAGGGGGGTGTGTCTGGTGCATGTCTGTGCACGAGCACACCCCTGCAAGGTGTCTGTGTGTGTGTGTGTGTGTGCACACCCCTGCAAGGTGTCTGTGTGTTTGCACTCACAGCCACGTCACTGCAATGTTTTCGTGCACACACACACAGGTACAGCATCACTGTGAGGTGGTTCTGCTTTGCACCCATGTGTGTGCACACACAGGAACAGTGTTAGTGCAAGGGGGGTGTGTGGGGGTGTGTGGGTGTGTGTGGGTGTGCACACAAGTACACCCTTGCAAGGGGTTGGGGGGTGTGTGCACAAGTATGGCATCATTACAAGGGGGGGTGTGTGTACAAGTACAGCCTTGAAAGGGGTGTGTGTGTGTTTGCACACACAGGTACACCCCTGCAAGGCGCTGGTGTGTGCACACACACAGGTACAGCATCACCACATGGGCTGTGTCCGTGTGTCCGTCTGTGCAACCACAGGTCCAGTGTCACCACCAGTTGTGTCCCAGCCCTGCTGCAGAGCAGTCTGTGTGTTCACACTCTGCTGTCTGTGTGTGTTCACACTGTGTGGGTGTGCTCACGTTGCTGTCTGTGTGTGTTCACACTGTGCTGTCTGTGTGTGGGCTCACACTGGTGTCTGTGTGTGTGTTCACACTCTGTGTGTGATCACACTTCGTGGGCTCACACTGGTGTCTGTGTGTGTGTTCACACTGGTGTCTGTGTGTGTGTTCACACTCTGCTGTCTGCATGTCTTCATAGTGTGCTCACGCTCCGTGTGAGTGTGTGTGTTCACACCGTCTGTGCACTCACACCCTGCTGTCTGTGTGTGTTCACAATCTGTGTGTGTTCACACCCTGCTGTCTGTGTGTGCTCACCCTGCTGTCTGTGTGTGTTCACACTCTGTGTGTGTGTTCACACTCTGTGTGCTCACACCCTGCTGTCTGTGTGTGCTCACACTGCTGTCTGTGTGTGCTCACACCCTGCTGTCTGTGTGGTCACGCTCCCCACGTGCCCCAGGATGCCGTGGTGCCTCACTCAGCCCCGTGTGACACCCATGGGTGCTGCTGTCACCAGGGTGTCCCCGTGGGGTGTCCCCCCAGTGCCCACCCGCGATGCCACGCGAGCCCCAAGGTGACCTCACGAGGTGCCAGACGTGCTGCCACCCGCTGCCCCCTGCCCCTCTCCCCCACAGCCTGGGGGACGTTGGGGACACCCAGACACCCCTCGTGGCTTCCCGCGGGGGCAGGAGGGGCTGCTGGCTCAGTGGGGAGGGTCGGGGTGCCCCAGCTGGGGCCACGGTTTGGCCACTGCTGGGACATGTCCTTGCCCCAACACCCCGAACCGTCTGACAAGGAGCCTCCTTTGAGCTCTTTGGGATGAGCATCCTGGAAGGATGAATTTGGGGGGTGCCTGGAGCAGAGCGGGGCTGCCCAGGAGCATCCCCTGCCTGGGCAGGGACACCGACCACGGAGGAGATCAGCCGTCACAGACAGGCCAAAAAACCCCTAAAACTCCCCCAAAACCCCTCAGAAGATGTCACTGATGTGCCACCATCCGGGCAGGGATGTCCCCAAGTGCTGGGGGTTGGTAATGTGACACGACGTGGGGTTTTCTTCCCAAAACCAAAGTTCTCAGCCCATTTCTCCTGCTGGGATCCTTCTACATAAATCCCTCTGGCAGCTGGCACAGAGAAGGAACAGGCACCAACATCCCTACCCAGCTTCCTGCTGTTCCCAGTACAAATTCCCTGGTCCTTCTTTTCCGTAAGCTTTGTTCCAGCTCCACATATCCCCCGAAACAGAGCAAAGCCCAGAGAACAGCAGGAGGTGGGATGGAGCCTGTGGGAACACCCTGTGCCTTAGTGTCCCCACTGCCCTCTGAGCCTGGCACAGCAGGGATCCTCCTCCACATCCCGAGGGTTTGTTTGGAGGCAGAACCCCCCAAATCCTCCCAGTTTCTCCCCACTTCTATCCCATCCTCCTCTGCACAGGAAAAGGCTGAACACTGCGGCAATTCCGGCAAGATTTGGGATTTTTTGGGGTGTGAAGTGCAGCACAGCTCCGGCATCAAGCCCCGGATGCCAGGATGGGGGCAAAGTCCCACTCTGGGACTGTGGGGTGGGGCACAGTTCCAGCCCATAATCCCAGAATGGGGCCACAGTCCCACTCTGTGATCCTGGAACACCCCAGGAGGTGCTGGCACACCCCGAGCCCGGATCCTCAGGGATGCTCCCAGCTGGATGCTGCAGCACTGTGGGGGTCCCCCCACCTGCAGCCCCCACCTGGTGCCATCCCAAGCTCAGGCACATCCAAGGAATGTGTTTTGGGGGTGGAATGCTGGATTTTTGGCTGCAGAAGGCCTGGCAGTGACAAGGACAGGGTGGGTGACGCGAGTGGGTGACTGGAACTGGAGCAAAGATTTGGGGTCTGTGGGGTCCCCGTGGGGGGGTCAGGCCCTTCTGGGGGGGTTGTGGGGGCGTGTGCTGCCCTGTCCCCTGTGTGGGGACACCCAGGAGGGCTGGAGGGGTGGGTGGGATGCCCGGGGGATCTGTGGGTGCTGGGGGGGGTGTGCAGCCGGACTCATCCCCGCTCCCCCCGCAGAGATCCGGGAAGCCTTCAAGGTGTTCGACCGGGATGGCAACGGGTTCATCTCCAAGCAGGAGCTGGGCACGGCCATGCGCTCCCTGGGCTACATGCCCAACGAGGTGGAGCTGGAGGTCATCATCCAGCGCCTCGACATGGACGGTAGGACCTGAGTGGGCACAGGGTGGGCACAGGGTGGGCACAGGGACGGGACCCCTGGCCCCCGCTCCGGTGGAACTCCTGGTTCTCCCCATTCCCACCCCACTGGGTGCTGCTGGACCCTACACGGGATGTGGGATGAGCCTGCTCCAGGCGTGATCCTCATTCCAGAGCTTCCTGCTCATCCATCATCACCATCCTCACCACGCAGCTTCACCTGGGAGGATTTAATGATCCTGGGGTGCTTGTGGGGTCACTGAGCCTGCTGGAATCGTGGTGCTGAGGCTGGATCCTGCACCCTGGGCTGGATCCTGCACCCTGGGCTGTGTCCTCAGCGTGCCCCTCGAGCACTCGCTGCCACCATCACCCTGTCCCTGCCCGTGTCCCTCCCGAGCCCGTCAGGACCTCAAAGAGCTCCTTAATTTATTGCTTTTCCTTTTCCCCCCATTTAAAAGCCTTTCTGGCAGCGCTGCCAAGGCTCCTCTTCCCCTCGTTACTCGTCGTTAGTGCTGCCCTGACAGCCCCACACCAGAGTCCCCACGGCCACAGGACATGGCAGCACCCCCTGGGGACACGGCCACCACCACAGGGGACATGGCCACCACCACGGGGCACACGGCCACCACGGGGGCACAGCTGGAACTGAGATCCCAGCTGGTGTTTGCAGTCCTGGACCGTGTTGATTTTCCCCATCCAGAACTGGGGGGCTCCAGCTGACGTTGGGTGTCCCCAGGTCACATTGGACAGGACCCAGATGGCACTGGGGGTCCTCAGGTGGTTTTGGGGGGTCCCCATCCAGCACTGGGGGCTCCAGCCAGTGTTGGCAGCCCCAGCTGGTGTCAGGGACCCTAAATTTTGCTGGAGGTCCCCACCCAGTGTCGGGGTCCCTGGTTGGTTTTGGGGGTCCCCAGACAGCAGTGACAGTCCCCAGCTGGCACTGGGAGGCCTCCGGATGGTATTGGGGTCCCGCCTGGAATTGGGGTCTGGGATGATGTTGGGCTTCCCCAGCCAGCTCTGGGAGGGGGGCAGTCAACATTTGGGGTCCCCAGCTCACACTGGGGGGGTCCAGTGTGAGTCCCAGTCACACTGGGGGTCCTCAGCTGGGGACCAACTTTACTGGAGGTTCCCAGTTGGTCTCGGGAGTCCCTGTTGTGGGGTCCTGGCAGGTACTGGGGGTCCTCAGCCAGTTTGGGGGGCCTGGCTGGTGAAGTCCAAGGTTTCTTAACACCAGCTGCTGCTCCAGGTGGACATCTGGGGGGATCTGGGTTCTGCCTGAGCCCCCCAAGGATCAGGGTCCCCCCAGGCTGCCCCAGGGAGGGTCCCCAGGCAGCGCCAAGCCCTGGTGTGAGGTCTTCCCAAAAAACACCATGGCTTGGAGCAGGACCCCCATGGGGTAGGGGTATCTGAGCATCCCCGAGTCCAGGTAGGGTGTCACATGTGTCCCTGTGTCCCACAGGCGATGGGCAGGTGGACTTTGAGGAGTTTGTGACGTTACTGGGGCCCAAACTGTCCACCTCGGGCATCCCGGAGAAGTTCCACGGCACCGACTTCGACACCGTGTTCTGGAAGGTACAAACACCCCCCACCCCCGGGGGCAGCGCCCCAGAACCCCCACCCAGAGCTCCGGGGGGCTCCAGGAAAGGGGCAGGGCTGGGGCTGGGGTCGGGCTCAAGGTGGGATTGGGGTTGGGGTGGAATTAGGGTGAGGGTGAAGGTCAGGATCAGGCTCTGGGGCAGGGTCAAGTTTAATGTTGGTTTAAGAATCAGGATTAGGGTTAGGGTTAGGGTCCAGCTCAGGCTCCAGCTTAGGTTTAAGTGTCAGGGTCAGCACTGGTTTAAGGGGTCAGGGTTAGGGTTGGGTCAGATTTGGGGTCAGGGTCGGGTTTAGGATGAGGGTTAGGGTTGGAGACAGGGTTAGGATCACGTTTAGGGTCAGAGCCAGGGTTAGGATCAGGGTTAAGGTCAGGTTTAGAGTTGGAGTCAGGACTAGGGACAGGTTTAAGATTGATATCATGGTCAGGGTCAGGCTTAGGGTTGGGGTTAGGCTGAGGGTCACGCTCAGGTTCAGACTCCAGTTTAGGGTTAGTGCAATCACTAGGATCAGGGTCAGGATCAGGGTCAGAGTCAGGATCAGTATCAGAGTGCATCAATCTCAGC